GTGGGATTAGGGTTTGAACTCAGGGCTTTGTACTTGTTAGGTAGGCACTCTACTGTTTGAGCCACACCTCTAGTCCATTTTGCTCTGGTTATTTTGTGAACAGGGTCTCACCAACTATCTGCTTGGGCTGGCCTCCAACTGCAATGCTCCTGATCTCAGCCTCCCAAGTAGGTAGGATTACAGGTGTGAGCCACCAGCACCCAACTTGCAGTTGGTATCTTTAACTGAGTGTTTTTTTTTTTTTTGTCAGAGATGAGCCCTATGGATAGGAAGGCTGATGGGTGGGTGCCAGGAAGCAGAGCCTGGAAGGTGGGTGGTGATGAAATGGAAAGGAAGGGATGTAGGGAAAGAAGTAAAGAACAAAACAGGGAGCCTAGGTGACAGCACAGGAGAGCAGGAAAGCAGGGGTAGGTTGAGCTTATTGCTGAGGGCATTGGGTCCTCTTACAAAAATGTCTATATGAGACCCAGGAGAGACCCCAGCACTCTCCCTGGCAGTTTCTCCATATAGCTAACCATAGACTTTTCCAACTGGAAGAGAACGAGTAAACATATGTTTCTGGGAGGGATGTGAAGCTGGGGATGATGGGATCTTACTTTAATTCATCAGTGTGTCACGACTTAGTATGTACCAAGGAGCCTCTTTCTGCTCAGGCTGGAGGAAGAGGCCATCTTGGGGTAGTAGCATCCCCTGGTATAAAGGGTGAAACTCTCAGTGAACCCCAGGCAGGAGGCAAGACAGAGAGGCCTGAGATGTCTTCCTTACCCCACATGAATAGTCCTGGGTGACATGCTAGGTTTTCACAGGCCAGAACTAGAGGGATCCAGATTTTTATAAGGTTGGCTCCCACAGCATTTGTGTGTGTGTGTGTGTGTGTGTGTGTGTGTGTGTGTGTGTGTTTCTTCCAGTGTACCAGGCAGGTTCCATTGTACTTAAAATAAAAAATAATGTTATACTAACATGAAAGAGGGCTTTAAAATTTTTATCTGTGGTCTTGCTATCTACCATGACTCTGTCTATTTCCTCAGTTCCCGTCCAATCTTTATCTGGAGGCACAGACATTTGGTCAGGCTCTTACGGAAGACAGGTTTTTGGAGTCTCACCTCTGTGCTGATTAACAGCAGTGGGACCAGCCTGAGCAGCAGGTGGACTTCTCTGCTGCTATTAGATGGGATAACCTGATGATAGCTATGTTGAAGGTTGGGGGAAACAGACAGATACACCAAACAGATCAGATGTTCTTGTCCTGTCCAGGCGCGCTCTGGTGCATGCTTGTTGCTTGGGTCTTCATGCTGAAAGCCAGCAGTGTGACACAGTACACTGTCCACCTGCAGTCATGAGAAGGATGCTTGTGTACTTTTATCTTCCTGCTTCTGTGTAGGCACTGTCTTTCTCCTGCCCACCCAGCACATATGGCAGTGCCTCTGTGGAGGCTTGGTTGCCCCACCCCCCTCTGGCCGGATGCAGTGTGCCCTGGGTATGTTTTCACATGTATGTGTGTACATTGTAACAGGTCATTTTATGGCAGTCCCTCCCCGAAGACATAAGACAAGGATCCCAGAAGGACAACAAGCTCTCATCCATGTCTGAATCTCTGATTCCTAGAGTATAGGTCAGCACAAAGAAGGCAGTTCAGTAAATGTGGATTGTTACGTGGGTCAGACAGTGCATATGCAGGAGACTAGCGGGGACTGATGCAACTGTTGCTGCTGACCCAGTCACGGTACATTGCTGTAGCCCTCAGGAAGTGCTAAAGAATGTCACAGTGTGTGCTTGTGGATGTGGCTCAGAGGAAAACATGCTGCAATGTGGTGGAGAGAAACAGACACATGACAGTGTGGTATCAGGACAAAGGAAAGAATTAAGCATGGATTCTGCTTTTCCTCAGAGTAACCAAGTAATCAGTGGGGAGAAGTTTACCTTTTGAAAATATTCCAGCTAATAAAGACAGAATGAATGATAGAATATCACTACATGTGTCTCTAAAGAATAAACAGTCTAGTGAGCATCATCAGTGGTACCTAACATCACCAGAGGCAGCAGATACAAGTACACGGTACACTGAGGAAGAATTCTTGCCCAGAATTGGACTAAAATCTATCCAAACCTCTAGCTATAACTTGTAGTTCTCAGGAAGTAGAGAACACAGACAAAGACATTAAAAAATAACGAAAGATAATTAGCCTGTCTAGACTGTACATTCACAGGACAAATGAGTTCCTTCCTTCCAGAAATAAATTGCAAGGGTAAGGGGAGATGAAGAGGAATTTATGCCTTAAAAGACACCTAACATGGCTGGCAGACTGGCTCAAGGGGTAGGTCGCCAGTCTAGCAAGCACCAAGCCCCGAGTTCAATCCCCAGTACCCCCCAAAATAACTTACTTACACCACATAACTTACTGCAAAGTGGGATCTTAATAGACTCTTGTTTTGGACAAACATTTTTGGGGGACAGTTGGAGAACTATTTGATAGTATAATTTTTTTAAAATCGTGATTATCTTTACTTAAAAGTTATTTTCTTTTAGAGACATTGCAGTGTTTATGGATAAACACCATGTGAGTTTTTCTTCAAAATAATAGGTGTGGTAGGTAGGGAGTTATAAATGAAACAAGATTGGCTCCAGATATATAATTTTGGTGGCTGGGTGTGCAGGGCTCACTATATTATGCTCTTCACTTTTGTATATGTTCTGTTTTTTTCCATAATAAATTTCAAAGCCTGAGCATGGTGACATATACCTATAATCCCAGCACTCAAGAGGCCGAGGCAGAAGGATGAAGAGTTCAATACCAGCTTGGGATACATAGTGAGATTGTCTTAAAAAAAGTTATATATATATATATATATATATATGAAACAGGTTACTATGGAAACAGATTTTCAATTCCTGGTATGAGATTAATTCATTATTAGTAACAGAATGTCAGAATTTGGGCTGGGGATATAGCTCGGTGTTAGAGTATTTGCCTAGCAGGCATAGAGCCCTGGGTTCTGTCCCAGAAACCAAAAAAGAAAAAACAGTTGGAATTTAAAATGAGTTTTACAGATTAGATTCCTAGGGAAGCAGACCAAGACAGAATTTAGCATGTAGGCTGTTTCTTAAGGAGACCTTGGGCTTAACACCTATGAGAAGGAATGGTTAAAAAACAGGATTGGGCACAGGGAGAAACTGAACTGGTACTGGAGAAATGGCACTGGAGTTGGCACAGTCTTGTAAGACGAGCTGGGTTGGGTCAACACAACCAGCCCTTTACACACGTGTGCACACACTGATCGCTCATTGATTGTGGCCACCAAGGAGAGAGCTGTGAGCTCAGGCAAGGCTGCCCTGCAGTTGGGGCCATCTAAGAATGGACTGAAGCACAGCTGAACCACTTGACTAATCTTCCCAGCTGCTGTGATGGATTTGGGTTTGCCTTGAATTGTCCACTACATCAGTACAGTTGATCTTCATGTCGACGGGTACTATGATATAAAATATAAAATAGACCCCCCTCCCTCCCCAAGGCATCCGTACTAAACACATGCCACTTTTCTTCTTGTTATTATTCCCTAAATGACACAATATAACAACAATTTGCATAGCATCTACATTGTACTTGATATTATAAGTAACCTGGAGAAGCTTTCAAGTGTATGGGACAATGTGTGTAGACTCCATGCAAATACGTGCTATTGTTTAAAAGTGCTTCAGCAGCCATGGACTGTGGTATCCACACAGAGATACTGGAACCAGTTCCACACAGGTACTGAGGAAGGACTCTGCAAATATTGCAGTGATAACGAGGCCTGAGGCATAGCTTAGGTAAAGAACCTGTGCGAGGTCCTGGCTTTGATCCAGTAATAATGAAACATTTAAGACTAGTATGAGAATTGTGAAGCTTATCAAATAAGAATACAGTCATACTAAAACAATGTAATTTAACCTAAAGTAGTTTACAGTTAATTTTAGTTTGGAAAATGGACGTGAAGGTATGCATTTATGTACATCTAAACTGAGATAGGGTGAGATAGCATAAGAATGGCATATTTGTCTTACTGTACGACATAATACCTGTTATGTTTGGTTCTTTTTGGGGGCAGGGAGAGGGATATAACAATGTATGTTGGAAAGATGAACATAAATCCCTTCAAAATACAGAGTTCACACATATCCTACCCCCTGTTTAGTTTATGCTTTGTGTTAATGCAGCCTGATTTTCAGGATGTGTTTTTGCTAGCATATTTAATAAAAATTGAGATGAAGTGTTCCCAGAAGACTAAAAAAATGGTGGTCATGGATGGAGTCACTTGAAGCACATCAGTTGTCTTTTTTTTTTTTTCTTTCTTTTTGGTGGGACTGGGGTTTGAATTCAGGGCATTGCATTTGCAAAGTGGGTGCTCTATTGCTTCAGCTACTCCTCCAGTCTGTTATTGCTCTGGTTATTCTAAATATAGGGTCTCTCGAGCTATTTACTTGGACCGACCTTCAGTTGCAATTCTCCAGATCTCAGCCCCCCCAATTAGCTAAGATTACAGGTGTCAGCTACCATACCTGGTATACCTATTTATTTTTTGCAGTACTGGGGTTTGAATTCAGGGCCTTGCACTTGCTAGGCAGTCATTCTACCACTTGAGCTACATCACCAACCCTCAGTTGCTCTTTTAAAGCAATGTTCAAGCTTTTCTGTGACATGGGGGTCTCACTCTGTTGCTCAGGCTGTTCCTGAACTCCTGGGTCCAAGTGATCATTCTGCCTTAACTTCCTGAGGAACTGGGACTACAGGCATGTACCACTGAGCCCAGCCCAGAATTCTTTTTAAGTTGGGCTGTTTTCTGGAGGACTGGTGACTGTTCAGAACAATTTAATGAAATTAAAGGTATCAGGTTGGGCCTGACGGAGAGACAAGGCATAATTTTGTGCCCCAAAGATGACAACAACAGAGCTGTCTCATCTTGTGGATCCTTCCCCAGGGAGCTCTGAGCAAGCTTCAGTCATGTGTTTTTCCTCCCTTCAGGTGCCTAGGAGAACAACAGGCAGCTGTGCACGGTGGGAAGAGCTCCTCTCAGCCAGCCGAGAGCAGCACTGTTGCCATGACTCCCACCTACGTGGACAGCCCACGAAAGGTAAGGGAGAACACTCCGTGGTGGTGGGGGAGGGGAAGCACTAATGTGGAAGTAAGAGTGGACAGCCCGTTGAATCCAGGCTCGAAAGTGATGCAAGTGTGGAGAATTCTAGCCCAACCCCTTTTAGGGTTCTATCGCTGGCTTCATCGAGGAACTTTCTTATTCACAGTAGTGGGGAGGCTAACTTCTAGTTACGTGCACATACAGAATAGTTAAACCAAGCTATACTGGTTCAGGTCCAAGATCTCACTTGAACTTTGAAACTGACCATTGGTCTTTTCTTCAGGGTCATCATTTGCTTTCCCAGAGCGGAGCAGGAAGTTGCTGAAGCACCTTCCACAGAACTCACTGTTCTTTGATCATGGGATTCCTAGCAGTTTTCTTAGACTCTAGAGAAATAGAGTCAAACCAGGAGCATCCTTGGAAGGGAAAAATGTAAACAAAAACCCTGAGGCCTTAGGCCTGTTTCAGGAATACCAAGTACAGTACAGTGACAGAAAACTCCACAGGCCTGGCTTTTTGTGTCTTTTAAGACCAGTGACTTGACTCTTGTCAGCTCTGTCTCCTAGGAAATTTCAGATCATTGTGTTGTGGTAGGGTGTACTGACTAGACATTGCCTTCTCTGGTCTCTACTACTAGGAGATGAGAAAGATTCAATGCAAATATTTTATTTTTTTTTAATTGTGGTCAAGTTGTATATTCATCCTTATATTTATTTGTCTATCACATAAGTTTCCCATGTCACTAAATATTTTTCAGAAGCATGATTTCTTTTTCCAGTGCTGGGAATCAAACCACTGAGCTACACCTCCAGCTTCCAAAACATCATTTTTAAAAATAGGTATGGCCTGGGGGGTGTAGCTCAATGGTAGAGTGCGCACTTAGCATCTCAAGGCCCTAGGTTCAATCCTGAGCACCGAATTAAAAAAAAAAACTATGTAATATTTTATCATATGAATATACTTGCATTTAGAATTCTTTTGTTAAAGATGTACATGGTTTCTCATTTTTAAGATATTTTTGCAGTTCTATAAAGTTTAATCTACAGAGCATCATAACTATAACGTTACAGTGAACAGTCTTATAAATAATTATCTGACTACATCTCTGATTATTTCCTTAGCATAAATTACTACTGGGGTGGAGGAATTAAAATCTGAAGAAGGGTAGCACCTAAGGCTGCAGGCAGCTCATAGATTCTGTAGACCAGAGGTCAGCAAACCTGAATAAGTATTTTAGGCTTTGTGAATGAATAGGCAAACTAAGGGTATCATCTAGGTACTTCTATAACCATTTAAAATTGTAGCCAGGCACTGGTGGCTCCTGCCTGTAATCCCAGCTTCTTGGGAGGCTGAGATCGGGGTGGATTGAGGTTCCAGGCCAGCCTGAACAAACGGTTCTCAAGAACCCATCTCCAGAATTCCAGACAATGTGTCAAATTAAAGCCCAAGTAAAGAGGGAGTCATCTCCAAAAAATAACCAGAGCAAAATGGACTGGAGGTGTGACTCAAGCAGTAGAGCACCTGCTTTGCAAGCTCAAAGCCTTGAGTTCAAACCCCAGTCCCACCAAAAAAATAAAATAAAATAAAATTATAAAAACTGGTTTTTGTCCACAGGCTGTAAAAATCCAGGTGGCTGACCAGATCTGGCCTACCCAAGCTGTCGTTCATTGATCCCTGCTCTTGTTAGTGGCTTTAGAGGGGAGTCAGTGTGCAAAGAATGTCCTGTTGGCCAAGAAAGTTTTCACCTAACCTCATTGACATGTACTTAAATCTCAGCGTCACCAGCACCCCTGCAGTTATATGTTCTGACACTGGAGGGACAGGAATGAAATGACGAGTTGCATAAAGTTGTCCACAGCTTTTTTTTTTTTTTTAATCTCTACTCATTGTTATCTCTTAGGATTAGAAATAGTGCCAAGGACAAGACAGAAGACTTCGATGAATTATAGAAAGGTTGAAATGCACCAAAGACCAAAAATTAGGTTGCTGTTTTAGAATACTCTCTTGGTATGAGGCTCCTGCTCTGCTAGGAGCAATATAACACCAGCTCTTGGCCTTGGGGGGGCCTCTGCTGTCTTAGGCAACCCACAGTGAATTTCCAGAGTCTGTGTGTTTCCCTTGTTCTTGGAACAGTGCTGAATTCCCAAGTCTAGTTCACTCATCCTTTTGGGTGTCATTGCTGGATGAGGCCCAAATTATATCCCTCTTGGTTCTCCCCTCACCTGGTGGTTATCATACCTGGTTTTGGTGCAGGTGCCAGTTTCCTGCTGCTTGGGCCTTTAAAAGGCCCTGCCCCCATTCTGCAGCTCTGTATGATGGGAGGTGTTGGCTTGCTTCTGGCTCTGCCTTTCTGCCCTTAGTTGTATAAGACAACAGTCAAAGATGCCAGCAGCA